TTCGTCTGGACGTCTTCAAGGCAAGAGTGAATAGACTTTTGTTAAGCTAAGAGAGTGTTATTTACTATTTAGGGTTTCATCACCACTTACCACCAGGTGGGATTGTGAACAAGCACTGGCTTGTAATAAGCAAAAAAAATATCATACTAGGCCAGTGGACTAACACAGTAAAGCCACGCTGCAGCTATATTATGGCTGTAACACGAATGTGCTGGCTCAACTAGGTCAGGTTCACTCTATCCCAGAACACCAGACTTAAATAGAGGCTAAATACTGCTCTTTCGTATGATGAGTGTAGATAACTGGAGACCATTTTTGCTGAAAACGAGACATTCCGTCTTAGTCCTGTGGGATACCAACGCACTTGCTTAATCGAGGATATATGTAGATGTCTAAGGGCTACTCTTATTCTTTTATCAATATAGTAAACCTGAATGACAGAGTAAGAAATAGTGTGAGTAGAGATATGTGTGGTTTATAAGATGGTGTGTATGTCTTCAAATTTACGGTTTTGGTATAAAATACAGCCTAGATCAATCTTGGCATCGCTCTCTATCTGTTCGTGAACGTTTCATTGCTGAGAAGTTCATTTGTATGCCATTAAGGAATGAATCACCATTTTTAGTATTTATGTCTGTCTGTTCGTTTACCTGTCTGTATGAGCTAATTGATTGTGATAAAAACTTTACGAACAGATAGAGAGCAATCCCAGGATCTAGGCTGTATTTTATCCACAAAACTTAAAAAAAAAACGAATAATTGATAAAATAAATGGTGTTGTTATATTAAGTCTAAATAACACGAGTAATATAATAAAATTAATAAGTTACGTGAGACGTAGTGGGCCAAGTGCATGTGTAATAAACATATCTAAGATTGTACAGTCCAAATTAAACGAAAACTTTGCGGTGAAAACGTGCTATTCAAAATGAAAGAACGCAGATATTTGGCTGATAACTTTATACGTGAGCTTTTAAGATCTGTGCTGACCATCTGGCGGCTTGATTACGTCACTCATAGTTATCTTCTTGCATCGTTCTGATGTCGTAAGTAATGAAGACATTTTTTTCATCAATGTATATGTTGTGAAATGTCTTTAATAGAGCATCTTATAATAACTTCATTATTTTACATAATTGAAACACGTCAATAAAGTGACACCCCTAAATTAGAAAAATTAAAATGATTAAAACAAACTAAATTTGAAAACTATTTTAAATAATTGCTTTATACTAATAACAATATAAAATAAAATATCGGAGTAAAATAGAAGTTTAATAATGCTGTGTTTCGTATGGTGAGTTAAGAGAACCGGAGACCCTTTCTGGAAATGAGGCAAGCTAATTGAAACATGTCTATATAGTGACACCTTTAAATAAGAAATATTAAAATTACTAAAAGCGGGAACTATTTTAAATAATTACTTTATTCTAATAACATTATTTCATAAAATATTAGCGTACAAAAGCAGTTTAACCGGAGACACTTTTTACTGGTAACGAGTCATTCCATGTTAGTCCTCTGGAGTTACAACGCTTGATACTTAATCGAGGATAGATTAAGATATCTTTGTGGCAGAACATTCACGTACCACCACTGTAGACTGTGTACTCGTTTGACACCGCAAAATAAAAAAAATACAAAATAAACATGAAATAGTTTCGGTTTTGCCTGGTTGTGGCGGTGTAAAAATATCCACTGCCCCATATAGGCCCGTGGATATCGTAAGGGGATATTACGGGAAACTTTAACACGAGACGTGCAATAGCATTTTTATGATAAAAAATGTAATTGCCAAGCTGCAAGTGTGGCAACTATGGCAATTGAAGCAATCAATGGAGGAGATAACTTAAGATGGGTTGTAATGTATGTATGTAGATATGTATGTATAAAAATTTCGAGCCTCATCAGCACCTATGAAGTTGTTGATGACAATTTTGATTACTGTATTACTATCTGATCGACGGTGAAGGTTGTTTGCATAACTAAGGAATGACATAATATTATTATTTATATGTGGTAGAGTCACGCTGCAGCTATATAATGATTGTAGCACAAATGTGTTCGCTCGACTGGGGTAGCACCACGCTCTTACACAATACCAGCTTGAAATTGCAGCTTAATGCTGCTGCATTTCGTATGGTGATTGTAGAGATTCAGAGACCCTTTTTTACTGGAAACGAGGCATTACATCTTAGTCCTCAGGCGGTGACAACGCATCTGCGTTTTGATTCTTAATCTAGGATAAATGTAGATATCTATGGGCCACAGCATCCACTTACCTTCAGGTGGACTGTTTTCTCGTTTGTCACTTTGTCACCCTTATTCTAATTTTTTTTATAGAGTAAATAAAATAAAAAGGGTAAGAAATTGTGTAATAAGAGAAGAGTGTGGTTTGCAAGGTGATGTTGTGACCAGGATTAAGAAAGGAATGCTTCGGTGGTTTGGTCATGTGGAAAGAATGAATGAGGAAAGAGTGACAAAGAAAATTTATGTTGCAGAAGTGTTTGGCAGAGTCGGAAAGGGACGTCCTTGACGAAAATTTATCGACCAAATTGGCGATTTATTAAAAACGGGCCAAATTAGGAGTACCCTTAACCGACGAGCATGTATGCATAGGTGTATGGATGTAAAGAAGGCGAGAGAGGTGTGTCAGGATCATGCCAAATGGAAGTCTGTAGTCTCTGCCTACCCCTCTGGGTAAAAGGCGTGAGTGTTTATGTATATGTATGTATGTAATAAATAAAATATTACGAAGTTACAGCCTATATACGTCCCACCACTAGGCACAGGCCTCCCCTCATTTCTGACAGGGTTTTATGGCAAGGAATTGTCCCCGCGCTACCCCAATGAGTGTTGGCAAACTTTACATATCTTCGAAATATATTTGTTTTCTTATTTCTCAGACATGCTGATTTCCTCACGATGTTTTCCTTCACCGCCAAGCACGTGGTAAATCAGCACTTAATTCACAATTTCAATGGTGCCGGCGGGGTTCGAACCCGGGTTGTACGCGTACTGTGAAATTTACAGCGAGCGCGGCCCTTGCGCAGTGGTTTGTGGACGGATAGGACGTATATAGGCTGAAAATTAAACTTTTCTAAAGTAAACTATATCGCAAAAAAGTTAATTTCTATTTTTAAAGTTTAGCGTCCGTTCTGAATGTTTTGGGTGTAAGGACCTCTCACAGAATACCCGCGTAAAATAGCAGTTTAACGCTTATGTGTTTTGTATGGTGAGTGTATAGTACCGGAGACCCTTTTTACTGAAAAAGAATCATTCCATCTTAGTCCTCACGTGTACACGTATCTGCATTTTGATTCGTGATCGAGGATTAATGTAGATGTCTATGGGTCACAGCAATCACTTACCATCAGGTGGACTGTGTGCTCGTTTGTAACCCTTATCCTATAAAAAAAAACCTGCCCCTGACAACAGCTTAAATAGGTAAGCTGGAAAAGCACCACTCTGTCATTGAATATTGTCTTTCACATAATGATTGACAGAAACCGTATACTAGGAATCACGCTCTTTCAGATTATCGTCGTAAAATACTGATTAGTTGTTAGTGTAGTGATTGTAGAATACTGAGAACTCTTTTTAAAAAAACTAAAGTCATGAACAAACTCCAGCATCCAACCTCAAACTGAGACGGCCACAGATGCGGTGTCGCCTCTGAGGACTAATATTGGAATACCTCACAGCCTGCAATCATACTGACTCTTTATTCGCTTTAGATGGAAATACAGCGGTGCATGCTATTGGGCGACAGGGAATCACTTATACATTTAATTAGATATTATTACAACAGGTTTTATATGTAACTTAGGTTTTTACGTGGTAGAGCCACACTGCAGCTATATTATAGTTGTAGCACGAATGGATCGCCTCGACCGGGGCAGGACTACGCTTTCACAGAATACCAGCGTATATTAACAGCGTAATGCTGCTGTATTTCGTTACATGAGTGTAGAAAACCGGAGCCCCGTTTTGCTGAAATCTAGGCATTCCATCTTAGTCCTCAGGAGTGACAACGCATTTGTATTTTTATTCTTAATTGAGGATGAATGTGGATGTCTATGGGCCAAAGCATCCACTTACCATCAGGTGGACTGTGTGCTCGTTTGTCACTCAATGCTGTAAAAAATAACTGCCTACGGAATTCAGCATCTCTTTAAATCAGGTAGACTGCCTAGTCGCTACTACCTACCTACCTACTTCACCTCGAGAGTTTCATATTTCTGACATGTCGACTATGCTTTGAACTTGCCAGAAATCTCGTAGCCTCTGATTGCGTTGTAACTAACTGTCCCGTATAATAAAATATAAGGTTAATAAATAATAAAATACTGTGGACGGTGACAGGAAGTAACTTTAAAATTACGAAAGGTCTGGTACGCAAACCTTCCTGTTAATGGTGGTGATTATTGCAAGTCATCTGTGCTATGGGATGTCCAATAGTAACGTGATAGAGCCAGTTCGACCGGGGAAGGACCACACTCTCACAGAATACCAGCGTAAAATAACAGCTTAATACCGCTGTGTTTCGTATGGTGAGTGTAGAGATCCGGAGACCCTTTTTAATTGGAAACGAGGCATTCCATCTTAGACCTCAGGAGTGACAACGCATCTGCATTTCGATTTGTAATCGAGGATTGATGTAGATGTCTATGGGTCACAAGAACCACTTACCATCAGGTGGACTGTGTGCTCGTTTATCACCCTATCCTATATAAAAGAAACTGTTAAAGATTTATTGGAATTACAAAATAATATATCTCGTAGTAATAATAGCGAATAGTATTTGAAGTAGAGCAGTTCGTTATATCGTCAATTTGTTACCAATTTATGAAGTGGCAGTGAGTGTGTTTATGCAAATCAGGTCTAATACGTCAATTTAAGTAATGTGTATCAGATAATAATTTATGATCAAACGAGGCTTTTTCGGCCACCACTAAGTCATGTTGCAACCGTTTTGTAAGAAGTTTTTTCCTCGCGAAATGCGACTAAAAGAAATTCTCAAGTACACGCCCCTGCAATTTTTGCAATCTGGGCCAATCGATAATTTTTTACAATATATAAAGGACCAGTTGGAGTTAATACCCATCAGTTGGTCTCCAGACGCAACCGCCACCACAATGAAGAACTTTGTAAGTTCATAAGAAAGTTGTTGAAGTCATAAATTAATTAAGCAATAAAGAAATTTTTCAACGCCCAGATTTATGTGCAAGTCATCCCAACAAAAATATAAATTCTAAATGTATTTAAAGTTGAACCTTTAAGAATTTTAAGAATAAAGTGTCAGTTGTTAAGAATTCACTAAATTTATTCTTAACATCAACGACGGTAATTATGAAAATCGAATTTTGTGGCTTCGTCATTCAGAATATAAATTATTTTTGATAGATTATTGAAAATTTTCATAAATTTTTCGAGATTATTTTCAAAAAAATTGTAGAGTAAATCTCTAAACTATAGACAAAGGATGTATTTCCCACGTTATATTCGATTCTTTTTAAATAATTAAGGATGACGCTCAACCTGATGGTCCATGGACATAAGTGCCCTAATCAAATAGCTGACGCGATGTTACTTGAAGGCTAAGATGCAATGCCTCGTATCTATTTCCCGTCTCTTCAATAAGAACGATGTGACTCTATTACGCTAAAATAATATCTCCTAGATTAAGGTTTTTAATTATCTTTAATAATTAGAAAACGTTATTTAATTTCTTTCAGATTATCTTCCTAGCTACTGTGGCCTGTGTTGCAGCAGCACCTGGCTACTACCTGGCCCACGAACCTGATTACGTCCACCTGCCTCTGTCCAAGTCTACATACACCACATCAAGCCAGACTGTGGACCATGGCAGCACCCACGTTATTCACCCCTTGCCAGTGGTGCACACTGCCCCACTAGTCCACATCCCAATGTCGTACAGCACCCAGTCCCACGAACGCACTACATACAACGCGCCCGCCTCCAAAACAACGGTAACTAACAGTAAACAAATCGTGAACCATGGAAGCACCTCTGTATACCACGCTCCCGTCGTCCATCCGGTGGTAGCTTTCCATTCATCACCAGTTGTCTACCAATCATCGCCTGTTGCCTTCAAGAATCCGGACTACGCTGTATCTCATCAGAGTTCTACGGTCCACGAGACAGTACCTGTAGTTAACTCTTTACAACTGTACGCGTTACATTAAGTTTGTTTTTGTTGTTAATACGAATTAAATTATATAAATATAATTTTTTGTTATTTTTTAATACCTTTTTACACGTTGTAGAGCTACGCTGCAGCTATATTATCTATGGTTGTAACACGAATGGGTCAGCTCAACTGAAAAAGGACCACATTCTCACAGAATATCAGCGTAAAGTAGCAGTCTAATGCCGCTGTGTTTCGTATAGTTATTGTAAAGAGCCGGAGTCCCTTTTGCCGCAAACGAGGCATTACATCTTAGTCCTTAGGTAGCAACGCGTCTGCATTTTGATTCTTAATCAAAGACAGATGTCTGTAGGCCACATCATCTCCTTACCATCAGGTGGTCTGAGTTCTCGTTTGTCATCCTTATACTATAAATAAACACCGGATAAGCTTAAAATGCTTATGTTACGAATAGTTAAGACTGTAAGTTGAATCAGAAGTCGAATAGGTTCAAGCCGTTTTATTGTTTTGAGTATTTTATCAGGAAGATGCTGCTGCCCATCTTCTGATTTTATTCCCTCTGTCGCCTCTCACGACACCCGCGGGACGACATGGGGTAGCGGATATTCTTACGTTGCCACTATATGGTTCAAATGTGAAATAAATAAATATACTGGCTCACTTTTTGCTGCTTGAAGAACTTGGAAAGATGGGGGCACCTGCCCAGATAGGCGCCCAGGTAGAAAAAGAGGCCTTTCTACCTAGTAAATATAATATGTAGGCTGCTTAAGAGTTCATACTGAAAATTCGCAAACTCGCGAACTCGAACCTATTCGACTTCTGATTCAACTTACTCTCTTAAAACGCTCGTAACACAAGCATTTTAAGCTTATCCGGTTCTTTTTATAGTATAAAAATAACAAACGAGAACTCAGACCACCTGATGGTAAGGAGATGATGTGGCCTACAGACATTTGTATTTGATTAAGAATCAAAATGCAGACGCGTCACTCCTGAGGACTAAGATGGAATTCCTCGTTTGCAGTAAAAAGGACTCCGGTTCTTTACACTAACGATACGAAACACACATTCGCGTGCATTTTAATCCTTTCCTGTATGGCCGAAATGTGGTCTGGCAGAGGACATACTTAAAGGCAGTAAAGCTTTCTATATTAGTCGTCGCAAGTGACAACGCATTTGTAATCTTCTTTGTTTCAAGTTGTCAATCAAAGGCAGTATCTACTTACTATCAGTTGGACTGTGAGCTAGCTTGTCACAATAATGGTGTTAATAAAACCAAAAAAAAGTTTTATTTCGGTGAATCTTTTACAATTAGTTTGCCGAGCCCTCCCAGAATGTAATCATAAGATACTTGTGTTAGGAGAGTCTCGTTCTTCCTACGTAATCATAACAACTTAGATTTACATCAAAATATTAAAATAGCCAAATTTTAAACTTATTAGAACATTTATTCATGCAGTTTAATTACACAAAACATAAACAGCACACATACAAACACTGATATACACAATTTGTAAACGTTCGGGAATGAAACGTTTATCCTCTGCGCTACTGAGCTATTCTATCTTTACATATAATTTTTTTTTCATTATAAATTTAATATCTTTCTTTCATTGTCATTTTTTCTTTCGCTCTATATTCCCACAATATAACTCGGTTGCTTATAATTTCAAATGTACATATTTTGAGTGAAATTTCCATAGAATATTAAGGTCACATATTAAAGCCGAAGAGCAAAGTCGCTTCTTGCTGAAATTTGTCGATTAAGGATACAATGTTATACGAAGTACCGTAAATCTGTATTTAATACGTAATGTTGCATTTTTCAAACACAATACTTTGAAGGATGGTTTAATTGGTGTATTTTTATGTGTGTTACCTCAAAACTTTATTCTGAATATAATATTGACGAACCGATTTTGATGCTTATCTTTTTATTTGGCATTTGGTGTTTCTGATGTGGTCCCTTATATATTTGACGAAGACATGACCAGTAGTATTTGAGTTATCCTTAATAATGACGTATTTAATTGACTTTGAATACGTTGATAATGTTCTGATTTCATTTATATTGAAGTCGGTTGTATATTTTTTTTTACTTTACCACTTGTTTAAATAAAATTAATAATTAACTAAATAAACAAAACTTAAACAAGCTGTTCTCTATTATCATTATTAATGATAAGAAATCTTTAATAAATTACTCATGTGTATCCTTGAAGTCGCACAACTGGTATTCATAAGTTTTATTGCAAGTACGGAGATGTAATTCTTCAATGCACGCTACCGCATTACGGGTTGCCACATACCATCATTATGTGGCCATCACATTCAAGGCAAGGCGCGATGCTAGGCGATAATATTGGCTGACCTTTCGTTCTTGCCTATTTAAGATCTATTAAAAACCATACGCATTAATTGCTGTTTGAATGCTTTTAATTGTTTTATTAAATCATTGTGTATTGACGCCATTAGACGAGTAGAGTAGCCTTCGTAAAATAAAATTCGTTTACTATTTTTACGTCCTAGAGCCACGGTGCAGCTAAATTATGGTTGTAACATGAATAGGTCGGCTCGACCGGGGAAGAATCACGCTCTCACAGAATAGCAGCGTAAAATAGCGGCTTAATGCTGCTGTGTTTCGTATGGTGGGTTTAGAAATCCGGAGACCCGTTTTACTGGAATTGAGGCATTCTATCCTAGTCCTCAAGGATGACAAGGCATCTAGGTTTTGATTCTTAATCGAGGTCAAGTGTGGATGTCTATAGCTCACAGCATCCACTTACCATCAGGTGGACTGTGTGCTCGCTTGTCACCTTTATTTTATTAAAAAAACTAGTATTCTTTATAATTTTTTTATACAAATTGAGTGCATTTTCGACCATATGAATATAAAATTATTATTATGGAAAAGTATAGGTGCAGAAATGTTTACATTATTTTATCTTAAAAAAGACATCTCATACATTAAACAATTAAAGAAAATGTTATGAATTTGAAACGTATATACTTTTGGCAAAAACTTGAATGTAACAGTTGCTACATTATAAAATTGTGAAATATGTAAATAAATATTTATAAATTAAAAATAACCAAATCAAGCAAACATATACTAAGCCCTTTGCTGAAATATTTATGTATTTTATATTAAAAGTAAATATCCTGACTACAGTAGATGCATTTTGCGATTTAAGTGAGGCTTTTGAGTGATCAAATAGTAGAACTATACTGAACTACTCCTGAAAAAATACGTGCGTTAATTAAATATTTCTACTTTTAAGGTAGGTGCCTCAAATAGGATAAATGCCACCCTTGGTACTGAATTTATTAATAAGTCTAAACCAAAGAGTGGCAAAGATCACGGTCAAATTTACCGAGTTATCAAGGCCGAGAGTACCAGCATTCATCAAATTCCTGCATTTCTAGCCAGGTTGACACTTCATCGACCATCTTACATTTTGCTTACTGGTACGAAGCTGTCACTAGAGAATTTAACTTTAAACTTCGTACGTAAAAAATCACCTCAAATTTAAAAAATAGGTAAGATGATCATTGACGCTTAAGGTCTGGCTCTCAACAATATTATCAAATAAAGGGGGCCATAAATTTCCCCTATAAGTAAATAAAACGATTCGCTTGTCTTTCCAAAAGATACTTTATCCAAAAGCAAGCCCAAATAAAAAGCGATACGATGGACAAGCATGTCAAATGCATGCGTAATTATTCTCGAGATATGACGACTGGCTTCGCGCAACCATCAAGCAAAAACTCGTCAAAATGTTCCATGCTGCGTGTGCGCATGTTTCAATTTCTGCTTGAAGGATCCGTCAAATTTGAGATTTTATTCATCAATTATAATAATGATCGAGCAGCGACCTTAGTGCGCATAGAACAAATTATTTCACACATTACGTGTGAAAATGTTATATATCGAGTCAAGAAATACTTAGATGAAATTAAGTAGCCTTAACTTACCCTTAACTTTAATAACGATAGACGTGGTGTACGGCGTCCTCCCACTAGATGGAGTAACGACCACCTGGTAAGACATGCAGGAAGTCGATGGATGCAGGTGGCTCAGGACCGTGCTTTGTGGACTTGTGGAGGGGTGTAAAGATGACGATGTAACTTTATAGTTCTAAGGAGTCTAAGACTATTAAAACAAAATCCCAGAAAATATACAAGATCTTTTTATTAATAATACAAATATTTTATTAAACAAAAACTGTATAGAAGAGGTTATTATAAATTAATAAATGGTTAATAATAAGCCCTGGGAATGAGATGGTCGCTTCTAGGTTCTGTCTTAAATAAGTTATGTAAGAAGTTTGTACAAACTGTGTTCTTATTGTGTAACTTATTGTGTAACTTACCTAATTTAGAAAATTTCCGGTTGGATTTATTTCTGGTTCTTTCCAGGTCAGAGGTATTTTCCGAGTCGGTGATAGAGGTAAGAAATGACTCAATAGAAATTTCTTATATCTATATTGGACAAAAATTATTCTACTCTATTCTGCTCGACCGGAGAAGGACCACGCTCACACAGAATACCGGCGTAAAATAGCAGCACAATGCTGCTGTGTTTCATATAGAACCTTATTACGGCCAAACGAAACATTTCATATCAGTTCTCAGGGGTGACAATGCATATGCATTATGTGCTTTTAATTGTGTTTAGATGTAGATGTCTATGGGCCACAGTATCCATTTACTATCAGACGGACTGTGTGCTCGAATTTCACCTTATTCTACAAAATAAAAAAAAAAATAAAAAAAAAAATAAATTACACCATGCTAAAATCGACTAAAATATTTACTATA